CCTGCACTGCCTGGAAACCACACCGGAGCAGTGTGAAAGATGCCTAACCCAGACTCTCACCCAGATCAAAATCTGATCTAGCCATTTTAACTTTATTAATTTATTTATCTGTTTATTTTGCAAGGAGAAAAAAATACAGTGTATATTTTTCTCCGTTTGAACAGAAAAAAAGACAGGGTGGACTGAACAGTGACTGATCACTATTAGAGCCAGTCAGAGGCTGTCACAGCAATCAGATGATCCAGAACCGGGCCTTTCAGTTACCAATCATTAGGCCGATGAGAGCCCGACCTCTGTATACAGTGGTGTATTTATAAGGCCCCACACATAAATATCCACTTCCATGAGGCCACATATATATTCACAGTCATCGTGAAGAGGTTAAAGTGTAATGTGAAGATGATGAGAGAGAAAGGAGGAGCAGCCAGCTTAGGATGGGAGCAGTGGTGGCCAGGTGACAAAGGTCCCAAGGGTGGGGTGCCATTTGCGGCATGGAGCTGGTTGTAGGGACTGGCCTGGAATCACAGAATTGCAAGGCCTTGAAAGTATTAAGAGTGGCTTCCATCCTAATCTTTGGGTTGAATCTACAAGGAACTGAGTAATGATAAGAACTGCTCTACACTGTCACTCCTAACATGCCTCCATAGTCAATTCTAGGACAGGAGTCATTGGCAGGGAAAGTTTACGTTTGTGGGGCCCCGGGATGGTAATATGACCTCCGGCCATGAGGGGGTGCTAACCCACATGCTAACATGCATGCAGAAACTCAGTATAAAATTACTAGCACTAAATGAATTTTAAACAATGATAACCTTGAAGGGCCTATTTTCCTATTATCCGTTTTAAAATCTCTGTCTGAATGGTGAGGATCCTGAATGAATAGATGTATTTTCAGAATATTACAATAGCATCTAAAATGACTGGTTTTTAAGTGCACTGTTATCCTAACACAAAATAATGAGTGAGAACATGGAGCATACATATTAAAGATGTGCACATTCAAATTCATGCCTTTCCGCAAACCGTCACACGGTAAATATTGAAGAGTGTTACTTTCTCCCATACAGGCCTATGCCAGCAGATGTCTACACGGTGAGAGTGACTGTAGATGGAGTACTTATTGATCTCAGCAAGATGTGCAGTGGTTACTACATGTATTGGTGGTGTAGGTTCCAGGTAGGTGGACAACAATGTTACCTATGCTTTGTAATTTACTGAAACTGACACATATATCAGTGCCCTTCCTCCTACAGCCATTGTAAGTGAGTTTTTTGACCTAATCATCATTTTTATACACATTGTCCGATTCCAATCTGTATAAACTTGAATGCTTATTGGATTTAAGCATATCAGGTGATGCATATTTGTATATTGATGGAGTGTGTGGCCTAAGAAGACTAACACCCTATATCAAGATGCGTGCATATTTGTTAGGCAGCTTATTTTTCTCACGCAAAATAGATTCTGAAAAGTCAAAAATTGTAAAAAGTCTTTCAGAGGGATGCAGCTCTCTTGAAATTGCTAAGATATTGGGGTGTAATCACAGAACCATCAATGTTTTGTTGCAAATAGTCAACAGGGTCGCAAGAAACGTATTGAGAAAAAGACAGGCAAATTAACTGCCAAAGATTATTAATATTATACAGGACTTATATAGCACCAACAGTTTGCTCAGCGCTTTACAATATAAAGGGAGACAGTACAGCTACAATACAATCAAAACAAGAGGATTAAGAGGGTCCAACTCATAAGAGTTTACAATCTAATAGGGTGGGGCAAGTGGTACAAAAGGTTATAAATGTGGGGGTTAATCTGATTGAAGTGATAAATGTCTTTTCGGAAGCGTGATATGCTTCCCTGAAGAGGTGAGTTTTCAGGGATCGCCTAAAGGCAGCCAGAGTAGGGGATAGCCTGACAGATTGCGGTAGAGAATTCCAGAGGATGCGAGAGGCTCTGGTAAAGTCCTGGAGATGAGCATGGGAGGAAGAGGCAAGGAAGCTTGAGAGCAGGAGATCATGAGAGGAGTTGACAGGATGGTTTTGGTTGTACTTGGAGACAAGATTGGTGATGTAGCACAGGGCAGAGTTGTGAATGGCTTTGTATGTTGTTGTTAGTATTGTTAGTATTTTGAATTTAATTCACTGGGCAATCGGAAGCCAGTGGAGGGACTGGCAGAGAGGGGTGGCAGACACAGAGCGGTTGGTAAGATAGATGATCTTGGCTGCAGCATTCATGATAAATGGAAGAGGAGATAGCCTACAGAGAGGTAAGCCTATGAGAAGGGAGTTGCAATAGTCAAGATGAGAGATAATGAGTGAGTGAACAAGTAGCTTGGTGGTTTCATTGGTTAAAAAGGGGCAAAATTTAGAGATGTTAAAGGTGAAGTCTACAAGCTTTTGACAGAAATTGGATTTGGGGCCAAAAGGATAGGTCAGAGTCCACAATTACACCAAGTACCCAGGCTTGAGGAGAGGGACTGATGATGTAGTATTGATCGTGATGGAAAAGTCATGGAGTCCACAAGGGAGAGGGAATATTATCAGCTCTGTTTTTTAGAGAGATTTAGTTTATGGAAGTGGTGCAACATCTATACTGATATGTCATTTGGTAAGTTAGTAATGCAAGAGGAGACTGAAGGAGTGAGGTGAGGAGTAGAGAGATAGATTTGGGTGTCATCGACATAGAGGTGGTATTTGAAGCCATATGAGGTTATCAGGTGACCAAGACAGGAGGTGTAGATAGAGAAGAGAAGGGGTCCAAGAACAGAGCCTTGGGGCACCCCTTCAGAAAGAGGAAGTGGAGAGGAGGAGACAGAGTTATAGGTAACACTGAAGGAGCGCTGTGACAGGTCGGAGGAGAACCAGGATAGAGCTGAATCTCAGAGACCAAGGCAGTGGAATTTATTGGGGAGGAGTGGGTGGTCAACAGTATCATACAACTGCAGAGTGGTCTTGTAGTAAGAGTATGGAGTGGTGGCCATTGGTTTTAGCAGTTAGCAAATCGTTAGTGAGTTTTAGTAGGGTGGTTTCTATGCAGTTTTGCGGGCGAAAGCCAGACTGTAAGGGATCAAGAAAGTTGTTTTCAGTGAGATAGGAGCTAAGACAGTTGTAGACTAACTATTCTTGAAGTTAAGAGGTGAATGGGAGCAAGGAGATGGATCTTAAGTTGTCCAGGTTGGTGGGGTCCAGTGAGGGATTTTTAAGTATGGGAGTGATTTGTGTATGCTTGAGGGGAGGGAAAGGTGCCAGTAAAGAGGGAGGGATTGAAGTTGTGAGTGAGAGCATAGAATAGAAGAAGACCGTAGTAGCTGTGAGAAAACAGGATCCAGGGGACAGTTGGTTAAGTGGACATCTAAGAACAGTTTGGTAATCTCTTCAGTAGTAGTCAGGTCAAAATTAGGAAAGCGCTGACTGTGCTGTTGGACAAGGTATGTAAGTGGGGAAGATATCTGTATAGTGGATGTGTCCTCATGTATTGCATTAATCTTGTCTTTGAGGTGATTGGCAATCTTTTGGACAGTGAGTGAGTTAGTGGTAAAGGAGGTGGGGGACAAAGCAGAGAGTTAAAGGTAGGTGAGAGCTGGTGAGGACTGGATGACAAGGTATACTATATTGCAAAAAGTATTGGGACACTCCTCCAAATCATTGGATTCAGGTGTTCCAATCACCTCCGTGGCCACAGATGTATAAAATCAAGCACCAAGGCATGCAGACTGCTTCTACAAACATTTGTGAAAGAATGGGTCGCTCTCAGGAGCTCAATGAATTCAAGCGTGGTACCGTGATAGGTTTCCACCTGTGCAAAACGTCCATCTGTGAAATTTCCTTGCTACTAAATATTCCACGGTCAATTGTACGGTATCTCATCACAACTGTAAGTTACAGAGATCACACTTTCAATGCTTAGATTGGAGAGACAGAACAGTTGCTGTTGTTCCTAGTTGCTTTCACTTTGTTATAATACCGTGGAATATGGGCTGGTATTATTACTGGCCATGTCTCTGAGCACTGAACACCTTGTAATTCTAGGCACTCCAGGGAGGTTGCAGTTCTGAAATATATCAGCACTGGAGGTTAATGGGTTCCTGGTAGCTTCAAGTTTGATTCTTCTCAAATCTTTGGCAGTTAATTTGCATCTGTTTTTCCTCAACACATTTCTTGCGACCCTGTTGACTATTTGCAACAAAATGTTTTATGGTTCTGTGATCACACCCTAATGTCTTAGCAAGTGCTGCATCCCTCTGAAAGACATTTTACAATTTTTGACTTTTCATAGTCAGTTAAATCTCTTTTTTTGGCCTATTTTGCCTGAGGAAAAAAAGCTGCCTAATAAATATGCACTCCTTGATAAAGGGTGTTGATCTCCTTAGGCCATACCCTCCCTCATTACACAAATAAACATCACCTGATATGCTTAAATCCAATAAGCATTCTCTTGTTTATACAGCTTGGAGTTGGACAATATGCATAAAAATGATGATTTGGTACAAAAAAACTCACTTGCCTAATAATTGTGCATTGCACAAGAGTGCATTGAACGTATAGATGAGAGAGGAATCCTTTTTATTCACATTATTATTTAGACTGCTTTTATTATTATTATTAAATTGTTTTATGCTGATAATAAGTGGAAGTATAAGTGTATGTCTATCACTATGGAATTTTTTGCAGTCATGGCCCTAGACAGTGGGCAATATTGTAAGAAGAGGGAATGAAAACAGAAGGAAGTTTTAAGTAGTTAGTATGTCTTCTACTGCTGTATGGTGGATGTATACTCCTTAGCATTAATGACAATTTAACAAATATAAGAAGCGCCACAGAAAATACAAGATAAATAAAATAATAAGCAGCACCTCTAACCAAAAAAGGTGAAATTGTGTATAAATAAAGAGTGCGCTAATTATTCACAAAAAATGCAAGGAAAAAAATAAAGTCCATAAATATAAACATAAGTCCAGCCACCATAAATAGTGATAATCCGATATCAACTTAACCATTTTAACTGCGGACATAGTACAGGAGATGATCAGAGACTGGGACATGACAGGGGATGACCAAAACTGCGGACACAGTACAGATGACCAGAGACTGTGGATACGGTACAGGGGATGACCAAGAGACTGCAGACAGTACAGGGGATGACCAGAGACTGCAGGCAGTACAGGGGATGTCCAAGAGACTGCAGACAGTACAGGGGATGACCAGAGACTGCAGACATAGTACAGGAGATGACCAGAGACTGCAGACAGTACAGGGGATGACCAAGAGACTGCGGACCTTTGGGGAGGGGGGGAGGGTATCTGAATTTGACAGGTACCTGCTCCCAGTTCTGCGGAGTTGTCCTCCCTTTAGTGCGAGCACCAGGCTGACAGCCATGTGCCCACTGTGCATGCGTGAGAAGCGCTGCGATTTGTGAATGGCCCGGCGTCTTCTGGGACCTGTCATGTATCCCAGAAGACGCCGGGCCATTCACAAAGCGCAGCGCTTCTCGCGCATGCGCAGTGGGCACCCGGCTGCCACAGCTGGTTGGCCACACTAAAGATGCCGGCGTGGGAAGACTGTACAGCGCTGGACCGAGGAACAGGTAAGGTTCTGCTGCAGAGAAGAGCTGAGCGACCGCCCTGGTATTCTGACACGCTCCATATTCACTCCATAAGATGCACTGACACTTTCCCCCCCTTTTTGGGGGAAAAAGTGCATCTTATGGAGCGAAAAATATGGTAGGTAATTTTGAAATTGATGGCAGCAACACATCTCAAAAATTTGAGACAGGACAACAAAGAGTTGGCAAAGTAAGTAGTATTAACAAAGAAGAGCTGGAAGAATAATTTGCATTGAATTAGGTTACTTGGCAACAGGGCAGTAACATGATTGGGTATAAAAAGAGCATCTTAGAAAGTCAGAGTGTCTCAGAAGTAAAGATGGGCAGAGGTTCAACAATCTGTGAAAAGTTGCATCTAAAAATTGTCGACAATTTCAGAATAATGTTCTGACCTCCAGAACAGATTCATTGATTTTCAATGCATTTACAAATTTTTTTTTTATCATGTCCCTGTACAGTATTTATGCCTTTAATGTGCACTTTATAAAGAGTTTTGAACAGATAAGACTTTTTTTTACTTTTTTTGTGACCTCCGGAACAGATTAATTGGTTTTCAATGCATTTACGAATTAATTTTTAATCATGTCCCTGTACAGTATTTATGCCTTAAAAGTGCACTTTATAAAGAGTTTTGAACAGATAAAAGACTTTTTTTTTACTTTTTTCTGACCTCTGGAACGGATTAATTGGTTTTCAATGAATTCCTATGGGAAACCGCGTTTTGGTTTACGAATTTTTCACAATACGGAAAGTCCCGCAGAACGAATTAAATTTGTAAACCAAGGTATGCCTGTAGTTCTAAAAATCACCAAAAGTTCAAAAGGTAAAGCTCTATCCTGCAAAGAAGAAGCTATATATGAACATGATCCAGAAACATTATTATCTTCACTGGGCCAAAGTTCAATTAAAATGGTGTGCTGCAAAGTGGAAAACTGTTCTGTGGTCAGACCAATAAAAATTTGACATTCTTTTTGGTAACCATGGGCGCCAGATCCTCTGGACTAAAGAGGGAAGGGACCTTCTGGTTTGTTATCAGCGCTCAGTTCAAAAACCTGCATCTCAGATGGTATGAGGGTGCATTCATGTGTATGGAATAGGCAGCTTGCTCATCCAGGAAAGGCACCATCAATGCTGAAAAATATATCCAGGTTTTAGAGCAACATATGCTCCCATCCAGGTGATGTCTTTTTCAAGGAAAGCCTTGCATATTTCAGCGGAGCAAAGCTAAACTGCATGCTGCATCTTTGACAACACCATGGCTTTGTAGTAGAAGAATCTGGGTGCTTAATTGGTTTGGCTGCAGTCCAGACCTTTCACAAATTGTAAATATTTCTTGAAATGAAAAAATATGACAAATACCCAGGACTGTTGAGTCAGAATGATATATCACACAAAGAACGGGATAACATTCCTCTCCAAAAATTCCAGGAACCGTCTTCTCAGTTCCCAGACATTTACAGAGTGTTGTAAAAAGAAGAGGGGGTGCTACACCATGGTAAACATGGCCTTGTCCCAACTTTTTTGAGATGTGTTGCTGCCATCAATTTCAAAATTACCTTATTTTTTTCTTAAAGTGGTTCCAAAAAGCGTCCTAACTTTTTTGGAACTGGGGTTTTACCACATGGGTTTGTGTTCCTGCTGATTTTTTACTATGTGAGCTCAGAATTTAATTATATGTTGTGACGGTCTAGCCACAGTAATACTGCTTCTCAAGATTTATTTTGTATTTCCAAGAGCAACTCTTAAAACATTCTCTTTTTCATTTTCAGACTGATTTAGCCTATACCCCTGTTATAAATAGCATATCGCCTTTAAGTGGACCACCAGGTATGTAATACAATATTAAAATTAGATTTTAGTTAAATTGCCTGTTAAATACAATTTTTCTTGTTTTCAGGGAGATGGGTATATGTAACAGGGACCAACATTTTCATAGGCTCCCAACTCTGCTGCAATTGCCCTAATTGTGAATTAGGAGAATTGTGTCATTCTAACACAATAAACGAATATAGCCTGTCAGCAATGAAATATGGAAGTTTTTGAGGTGACTTTTTTTTAAAGGTTCCAGCTTCTTTGCTAATATAGTTAAGAAAGGCACCATACTAGAAGAAGCATGTGTGGGCAGCACAGTGGCTAAATGGTTAGCACTTCCACCTGGCAGTACTAATGGCTAAATGGTTAGCACTTCCGCCTGGAAATACTAGTGGCTAAATGGTTAGCACTTCTGCCTGGCAGTACTAATGGCTAAATGGTTAGCACTTCCGCCTGGAAATACTAATGGCTATATAGTTAGCACTTCCGCCTGGCAGTACTAATGGCTAAATGGTTAGCACTTCTGCCTGGCAGTACTAATGGCTAAATAGTTAGCACTTCTGCCTGGCAGTACTAGTGGCTAAATGGTTAGCACTTCTGCCTGGCAGTACTAGGGTCATTAGTTTGAATCCCAACCACGGTGCCTGTCTGGAGTTTACATGTTCTCTCTGTGCCTGTGTGGGTTTCCTACCACATTCCAATGACATGCTGGTAGGTTAATTGGTTCCTTTCTAAATTGGCCCTAGTATGTAAATGTGAGTTGGGGACCTTAGATTGTATGCTCCTCAAGGGTTAGGGACTGATGTGAATGTACAAAATATGTAAAGTGCTGTGTAAATTGCAGTGCTATATAAATACCTGTAATAAATAATAAAATATATAGGATGTCACAGTACCTGATATGTACTGCACATGCTTGTTCCAGGTCTGTGTCTTACCATTAATGTTAAAAAGATAAGAGGACAGTTTTAGAACTAGAACCTTTGAAACAAGTTAGAAATGGCAACTCCTGTATTTTATTCTGACTTCCTTTATTGTCAGCCATAGATAGGCAATTACCTTATCAGGACAGATATGCAGTGTCAAGTCTCCCAATCTACAGAATGCCAAGCCACATCACTATGATTTTTCGTTCTTAAACACTAAGTGGATGAAGAGTACTAACAGTCTTATTACTGCAATATAATTGTTTTTTTTCATAGCTGTATCATAGAGTTATAACTTGGAGCACCATTCAAGTGCCAAGCATTACCGTGACCCACTACTCAAAAGGGTGCTAGTGTCTGAGGTGCTCATCCAAGAAGCATATTATCCATATAGTGTGAGGATGCTGCATACCCACAGCTCAATGACATTTCATCCCACCCCGGTGCATAGTCCCAGGGCAAAACGCATCAGTCCACTGCCTAGGAGGAACCAAAGCTGAGGCTGTTAAATATGCATTATATGTATCTTAGAGTTGCCTGAACTACATACATGTAAATTTAACTGCCTTCCTACTGCACATATTGTAAAAAATGGAGTGCTTTAAAAAATGTTTATTTTAAATGGTACTGCAGAAAACACACGTGGGCAGCCTGTGAGTCCACTCAATGTGTGTGATCAAGCTGTCATTAGACAGCTCAGATTACAAACACAATGTACAGAGCCAATCAGTCATAGCTTTTTTCCTTGTGAATGATGTTGTGGCCAGCATATGACCATAATGTTTACATGGGACAGCCCTTCTCTTCCTCCAATGTGAAGAACAATCTAATGAATGAATGAATAATTCATTATTAAGAGATCACAGGCAGTGGCAAATAAGGTATCTGTTTGATTATGGTATTTTTTTTACCTTTTTCACCCCCCATTCCTGTGCATTTCATCTCCATCCTGCTTCAGTAGTGACCTGAATATTAACCACTTCCCCTCCTCCTCGCTCTGTGTAAGACCTGTGCATTAATGATGCAGTGTTTCTAATGCACCACTACCAAGCTCCATGTTTTAAAGACTTAAAAGCTTCTATGCCCAGGACTAATATTACAGTTACAGTGAAGTAAATAAGTATTTGATCCCCTGCTGCTTGTGATTGTTTGCCCACTCACAAAGAAATAATCATTCTAAAAATCGAATGGAAGGTGTATTGTAACACTGAGAGACAGAATAGCAACAAAAAATTCAAAAGAAATGCATGTCTAACAAATTATACATTGATTTGTATGTTCATGAGGGAAATAAGTATTTGATCCCCTTTACAAAACATGACTTAGTACTTGGTGGCAAATCCCTTGTTGGCAATCACAGAGGTCAGACGTTTCCTGTAGTTGGCCACCAGGTTTGCACACATCTCAGGAAGGATTTTGGCCCACTCCTCTTGGCAGATCCTCTCCAAGACATTAAGGTTTGGTGGCTGACATTTGGCAACCTGAACTTTCAGCTCCCTCCACAGATTTTCAATCGGATTAAGGTCTGGAGACTGGCTAGGCGACTCCATCACCTTAATGTGCTTCTTCTTGAGCCACTCCTTTGTTGCCTTGGCCGTGTGTTTTGGGTCATTGTCATGCTGAAACACCCATCCATGACCCATTTTCAATGCCCTGGCTGAGGGAAGAAGTTTCTCACCCAAGATTTGACGGTACATTGCCCCGTGCATCGTCCCTTTGATGTAGTGCAGTTGTCCTGTCCCCTTAGCACAAAAACACCCCCAAAGCAGAATGTTTCCACAAGCATGTTTGACAGTTGGGATGGTGTTCTTGGGGTCATAGGCAGCATTCCTCCTCCTCCAACACAGCGAGTTGAGTTGATGCCAAAGAGCTCGGTTTTGGTTTCATCTGACCACAACACTTTCAACCAGTCCTCTTCTGCATCATTCAGATGTTCAGTGGCAAACTTCAGACGGGCCTGGACTTGTGCTTTCTTGAGCAGAGAAACCTTGCGGGGTCTTTTATACAGGTAACAAAATGAGATTAGCAGCACTCCCTGTAAGAGACTGCTTCTAATCTCAGCTTGTT